ACATCAGTGATGAGAGTCATTGATTGGCTGCTTCCTACACACCCCCTACTGGGGATGGAGCCCACAATCTGGGCATGTGCCCTTCACTGGAATCGACCCAGGAGCTACCTACTTAGGGACATTTCTAAATACACACACACACACACACACTAGAGGCCAGTGCACGAAATTTGTGCACTCAGGGGGACCCTCAGTCCGTCCTGCACCCTCTGGCAGTCGGGGAGCCCTTGGACATCCTTAGCGCTGCTGTGGAGGTGGGAGAGGCTCCTGCCACCGCATCCACTGCTGCTTCTGCTGCTGTGCTCGCCAGCCATGAGCCCAGCTTCTGGTGCTGCATTCCCCCTGTGGAAGCGCACTGACCACCAGGGGGCAGTTCCTGCATTGAGCATCTGCCCCCTGGTGGTCAGTGCGCATCATAGTGACCAGTCATTCCACCGTTCGGTCGATTTGCATGTTAGCCTTTTATTATATAGGGTTTTAAAAAATATATTTTTGTTGATTCCAGAGAGAAAGGGAGAGGGAGATAAAAACATCAGTGATGAGAGTCATTGATTGGCTGCTTCCTACACACCCCCTACTGGGGATGGAGCCCACAATCTGGGCATGTGCCCTTCACTGGAATCGACCCAGGAGCCTTTAGTCCACAGGCCGACACTCTATTCACTGGGCCAAACTGGCTAGGGCTCCACTTAGGGACATTTTTATCATAGCAGGGCCTCTCCCTGTCCAGGGTGGCACACCTGGGAGAGGAGAGTATACCCAGCAGTGCTGGTTCTGCCCTGAGGACACTGAGGTCCAGACCCCAGTGGGGAATGGTCGAGGCCAGCCTGCCCTGGGTTCAAGGCCTCTGCAGACCCGATGGCTGGTGGTCCCAGAGCTATTCCTGCAGCTCTGGCCTCTGCAGAGACATGGAAATTTCCTGGGCTGTGCTCCGTTTTGATTTGGCTTTGGCTGGAGATGGGGGACCGGAGTGGCATTCAGTGTTACCCAACAAACTGACCGCCTCCATTTCAGATTGTCACAGCCCTGGCCATTGCTGGCACCCTCAAGTTCAACCCAGAGACTGACTTCCTGACGGGCAAGGATGGCAAGAAGTTCAAGCTGGAGGCCCCGAATGCAGACGAGCTTCCCCACACGGTGAGCGGGCACTGTACCCCGTGCTCAGTCCTGCAGGCCCCGGGCCACTGCCGGTGCAGTGTGGCCAACACACTTCCTTCCCAACGTCTGGCCCTGGGCAGGCCTGGTGGTACCGTTCGTGACAGTAAAGCACTCTGTTCACTGGGAGGGAAGGGCTTCAGCACAGGGAGCTTGTCTCCTGTAAGAGGGGACTGAGGATTCCACACCCATGTCCCTGTCCCCCACAGAATTTCGACCCTGGGCAGGACACCTACCAGCACCCTCCCAAGGACGGCAGCGCGCAGCGGGTGGACGTGAGCCCCACCAGCCAGCGTCTGCAGCTCCTGGAACCTTTTGAAAAATGGGATGGCAAAGACCTGGAGGACCTTCAAATCCTGATCAAGGTCAGCAACGTGGGGAGGAGGAGAACAGCCCAGGCCTGCCAGGCACCCTTTCCTGACCGGCAGGACGGCCATGAAACCACGTGTGCTCCCCGGGGCCTGGGGAGGAGAAGGGCAAGGTTAGGTGAGGGCGGGAAGGGAGGTTTGGCTGCAGAGGAACAAGGGCATCTGCAGCCCTGTGTCCCCTTCGCTGCCCTGTGCCGGGCAGAGCTGGATCTGGGCAGCTGCTGTCTGGGGCTCCCGCCATCTGGCTGCTGCTGGGAGGGCCACCTCCAGTGGGTGTGGGCAGTGAATGCCCCACAGGAAGGGCAAGAAAGGCACGTGTGACCCAGCACGGCGGGTCTCCACCCCTCAGTGGAGCCGTCAATTGCTCTGTTCCCAAAACTGGGCACTGGTGGTGCGGCCTGTGTTCAGGAGCTGAGCAGATACCAGCCTTTGTGCTGTGGGCAGAGGCCTCGCACCAGCGTAGACACGCATGATGCTGTTCACTAGGGAGTCTCCGGACAGCGGCACAGGGAGCAGGGAGCCTGGGCTTCTCTCTTCCTGGGGCCTCGGCCTGAAGGCATGGCGAGCAGACCTGCCTGGCGGCCCTGACTCGCCTCTGCCCCCTTTGAGTGTCCATTACGGGAGATCTCACTCTCAAGGCCTCTGAGGGGTGGCTGACGGCCTTGCCTGAGCCCTTTTGCCCACAGGTGACAATGCCAGGGCTGCAACCACACATCTTGCACCTCTTCTCTGTCACTGGGTCTGCTGCCTGCCTCTAGAGGGCTTCTCCCCTAATCCACCAGTCAAGGGCCATGCACCAACCTCTGTCCTCTCTGCCCACCCACCCAAGGTCAAAGGGAAGTGTACCACTGACCACATCTCCGCTGCCGGCCCCTGGCTCAAGTTCCGTGGGCACCTGGACAACATCTCCAACAACTTGCTCATTGGTGCCATCAACATTGAAAATGGCAAGGCCAACTCTGTGCGCAATGCCGTCACCCAGGAGTTTGGTCCTGTCCCTGACACTGCCCGCTACTATAAGGTCGGTCAGTCGGTGGGAACAGGGGAGCGGGGTCCCTGGCACCTCCTGATGGCTGGGTGGGGCAGAGTGGGTGGTCCAGGGGAGGGGTGCTCTCCATCCAGGAGCCCACACCAGTAGCTTTGCAGTTGAACCATGTCCAGTGCATGGAGGCAGCTCCCTGTATGTCACCTCCACTGAACACCCACTGCTCTGGGCTCCGCTCCCACTGTGGCCTCCACCAGCCTGCCTGTGCTGAGCACCTTGGTGGGGTGCACCTCCCCTTGCCCACTCTAGTCAGGGCCTGCCTCACCTCTGACTTACTTGTCCTTGGGGAGCAGGTGAGGAGGGGCCTCTCCAGTCCCATGACCTGTGAACTTCAGGAAGCCCAGAGGCAGGGTGGGCAGGGGCCAGGTCCTCCTCTTCCTCACACCTCACTCCTCCCTCTCCTCACAGAAACATGGCATCCAGTGGGTGGTGATTGGAGATGAGAACTATGGCGAGGGCTCAAGCCGGGAGCATGCGGCGCTGGAGCCTCGCCACCTCGGGGGTCGGGCCATCATCACCAAGAGCTTCGCCAGGATCCACGGTGAGCTGGAGCCATGTGCCTGGTTTCTAGGCTGTGCCCATGGCTCCTGGTTTCCACACCCGCCAGCCTCTGCCCCTTCAGATTCATGTTGAGTCTGACACCCACAACTTCCAGTCTCTGGCAAGCACTGATCTTGCTTCCAGACTTATGGACCTAAACAGTTGAAATCAGGCCACATGGCCAACAGGGTTTCTGCTGGTGAATGTCACCAGGAAGGTTTAGAGACACAGCACCAGCGCTCACTGTAGGACCCTAGCGAGAGGCAGCGTGTCGCTGGGAGTGCAGCCGACCTGGGCCTTGTAGTCACTGTCCCAGGTTTGTCCCCAGGTGGCAGGGCTAGGGAGTCTCCCAGGGCCCTGACTGCACTTAGGAAAAGCAGCTCTCTGGCTGGGGAGGTTCCTGCAGAGAAGGGGGACAGGCCCTGCCCACGTGGACTGAACGTGCTTTCTGCCTTCCAGAAACCAACCTGAAGAAGCAGGGCCTGCTGCCCCTCACCTTCGCTGACCCAGCCGACTACAACAAGATTCACCCCGTGGACAAGTTGACCATCCAGGGCCTGAAGGACTTTGCCCCTGGCAAGGTCAGGGGGCTAGGGAAAGGGGACAGGCTGGCCATCCCATCTCTCCAAGGGCCCTCCTGAGGGGTCCTACAGGGGGCAGCCACCTTGCTTCCCTTCCTACACCTGGCCCCACCTGCACCTCTTCCCATGAGCCTTTGTTGCAGCTGGAAGGGCCCTTAAATTCTCCAGGCAACCCCCAGAGAGCAGTTGTATTATTCAGGTCTTACCACTGCCTCGGCCCAGACCTGGCCTAGGACTTGGTTCACTTGCTGGCACCCAAGGCCCCAGGCGGTGCCCTGCTCCTCCAGCAGAACCCAGGGCCATGTGCCCAAGAGCCACTCCACCCACACCCGCCTCCTCTCTTGCAGCCCCTGACATGCATCATCAAGCACCCCAACGGCTCCCAGGAGACCCTCCTCCTGAACCACGCCTTCAACAAGAGCCAGATCGAGTGGTTCTGCGCGGGCAGTGCCCTCAACAGGATGAAGGAGCTGCAGCAGTAGGTCCCACCCCACCCTCAGACTCCGCTCGCGTCACCGTGGAGCGCTGCATGTCACCAGAAGCAGATCTGACCCGACCCACTCGGGCTTCCTGCACGGAGAAGGCACGGCCAGGCCTCCTGCCCGCCTCCCTCAGCCCACGGACGGCCATGGTTGGAGGGTTGTTAACCTGCCTTCCCGTTTTTCGTTTGGTTCAGATCTTGAGCACCTCCATGCAGCTGTATTTATTTTTGATGACAAGACTCCTATGTAAAGTTTTTCTCCTGTCTGATCATTTCACTGGTGGCTGAAGGATTTTAAAGAACCTTTTGATCTTGCAAGGAAAATAAGAACCCACATTCAGTGACTGTTCCTGTGTGAGTGGTGGTGTCTGTGCTGTTATCAACTCCAGGGTTTGGGGGGCTCTTTTCACCAAAGTTGGTGGAGGCCCTCAGTAATCAGCACGGCAGTGAAGCAGACGCGAGCCAGCAGACTCCCGCTTCTCCCTCGTTCCCAGGTGGGCCTCCCAGGGAAAGCCCTTCCCCTCCGATGCAGCTAAAACCAGGGCCCTGGCGGCACCTGCCAGACTCCGGTACCACTGCCTCCCCTTCCGCTGGGCCTTCAGTCCTCCAGACACAAGTGGACACAGGCCACCCTGTCCAAGGTCACAGCTTGTCCATGAGCACTCCTGTCCCTCGGCAGAAGGCAGTGGCAGGCACCTATCCCACAGCTGCTCCTCCCCCTAGAGCCACACCCACTGGCACTCCCCACACCTCTGGTGCCATTTGTGGCCAAAAGGGCAAGGGCAGGGGGCCCTAGATTTACTACAAAACCAGTGTCCTGGTCCCAGAAGTAGGTGAATGTGGCAGAGCCGTTCTGAATAAACAGTGGCACCTGCCCTCATGCCAGGATCTGGGGCCGCAGCAGACCCACAGGGTGTTCCTGCGGTGGCCATGGTCTGAGAGCGACAGCTGTCCCCAAGCTTCCTGCTACACGGATGGGAGGAAGGGCGATGACACAGCTGGTCACCAGTCCTCACCTTGAGCCAGCAAAGCTCACATGGCCTCCACCTTCCACATTAGTGGGAAGGAAGGTGCTGGTCCCTTAATCCTCACTCTTCTCAGCAGCTGATGGCTCCACGGCCCCGGGCAGCTACCCCGGGCGGGCCTCTCGCTCCCTGTGTGGCCTCAGGGAGCCACCAAGCTCACCCGGCCCAACGCCTGGCCTGCGGCCGCCTGAATCTCAGCCCCCATCCTGCCATGTGTGGGGGGCCGTCTCCACAAGTGATGTGAAGAGGGAGGACATGCTGTCCCAGCTGTGGCAACTCGGTGACCTTAGGTCGTACGGCAGCCAGTGAGACAGGTGGCTCCTCAGCTGCCATGGCCATTGTTTATTGAATAAAGTCTCTGTCCCTGAGAGCGGGGCTTCTGGGAAGAGGGGCGAGGCCAGGATGGCAGGGAGCGACGAGCTGCAGGGCACTCCTGGCCCCACCAGCAGCTCCCTCCGCAGACTGCAGACTGCCCCTCGGCATCTGGGCTGCTGCTGTCCTCCGGCACCTTCCGAGGCTGGGGTAGGGCCTGTGGACTGGGCCGGTCCACGTCCAGCACAGGGCTAGCTGCTCGTCCACCAGGAGAGGAGGCCCAGGCCCGGCTCACTAATGGATCCCTGCGGGGAGAACAGGCACATTTCATCTACCTTCAGGGTTTGGGCCAACTCAGGAGGCAAAAGGAGCCCTTTGTTCAGGGTGCCCAGCAGGCCCAGTGCTCCCAGCTGGCACATGGCACACACAGACTCCCCTCCTGCCCCAACAGGTAAGGCCTGTAAGGAAAGCGTTGGTTCACTAAGGACACTGCCCTGGCCCAAGGCCTTGGGGTAAGACACCCTTCCTCGTCCCCAGGCCCGTCCAGAAGCACCGCAGGTGAGTGGTGAGCGTGCCCTCCTGGGCCACCTGTGGTCTCTTCCTGCCAGAAAGGCCTGGTGACCTTGAGCCCCAGGAGCCAAATCCATGTAGGAGGATGCCCGGGCCACCTGCGTTTCTGACAGACACAGCTGCCCCCAGAGTGGACAGCCTGGGGCTGACATGACACCAGAAGGCCCTGACACCCACTTTTTCACTGAGTTCATGAGGGTAAAAGGCAAAGCGAACCCGTCAGCTCTGGCTGGTCACAGCTTCCCTGTCACCTCAGGCCCGTGCTGGGCCTGGTGTGGGAGCAGCCCTGACGGTCACCCTCCCTGAAGCCCTACCCATACTCTTGAGACTGACTCCTCCCAAGTCCCTTCCTTGGTTCTTCCATTATCCGTGGCCTTGTCATCGGGCTCGGCTGTCGCTCGCACCGCATGGCCTGCAACTCCGCACAAGGGTTACGGCCCAGCCACAGAAACCCAGCTCCCAGGGGGACACGACTGCACGCTGACCTGCTGGGGGAGGGGCTCCCAGAGGGGGACCCAGGTCACCACCCAAAGAAGCGGCTCCCACACCACGGCCCCAGGTTTCGGCAGCACGCGCGCCATCTCACCACAAGCGTGTACGGGGCCTCCTTCTTCGGCGGCTCCTCGCTGGTAGAGGCCACCCCGGCGGAGCTGGGCCCGGTGGGGGACGTGTCCACGAAGCTCTCGTCCACCACCCGGAAGCGGATCTCCTCGCCGGTGTCCATGTACAGGTCGTGTGCTCCTTCCTCCGTCTCATACTCCCACACCCACACCTGCTCCGCATCGTCGCTGGCGGGGTGCAGGTCAAGGCAACAACCGGACCCTGGGGAGTTCCAGAGGGTTGGGGGTTCCTCCCACAGAACCTCCCCCCCTCCCCGAAAAGCCAATCCCAGACTGAGTTCACTCTGGCTGGCAGGCCCATGAGCAGGTGGTGAGGTCTGGGACCGAGGAGAGGAGCAGGAGCAGGTTGGGAACTCGGGGGCCCCCACCAAGCACCCAGAGGCTCTGCAGGTCATCAAAGCAAGGAGGAGGTTTGAGAGGGGGTTTGGAGTTCCTCTCAAGTATGGCCATGGCCAGCTGCTGCCTGGGGTCCCCCTGCCAGGTCCAACTCGGCCTGGGCATCCTCTGCCCCACCACCCGCCAGCTGTGACCTGGGGTCAGGCCCCCCTCTCAGAGTCTCCATCTATAAAATGGGGGCCGCAGCAAGGCCCCCCTCACAGGCTGTGGTAAAGCGGTAAACACACTGGTCAGCCTGTGTTAGCTCAGCTGTCCTGTGTTCCGTGCACCAGGCGAGTCCACACCCCTTTCCATTCACACCCCTCCATCCGCACCTGGGACACTGACCAGGCAGTGCAAGTGGTTGGTGGTGGAGGTCAGGTGCCTGAGGGCCCACAGCTGGCGAGAGCACCAGCAGGACTGGGTCAGGTCTTCTGACAAAGTCTGGAATCACACACAGACCTTGACCCTGGCCCTGCCAGAGCTCTGTCTGCTGACCCCGGGAGGGCAGCCAGCCGGTTCTCCCAAAGGAGCCACACTGCCCTCTAGTGGCCGCTAGTGGTCCTGCCTCCTGTGCCAGGTCCTGCACTGGGCATCATGGGTCCAGTCAGGACAGGATGGGGTCCCTCCCAGTGAGCAGTGGGGTCCCTTCAGTGAGGATGCACAGAAACAGACACCTGCAGTGCAGCAGGCGAGGGCTGGGACAGGGACAACAGGGGAGACCAGGAGAGGGCAACAACCCAGCCAGGACCCTCAGTCAAGCCCTCAGGTGCAGGCTGATGCTACCACTTACAGACCAGAGGAGGGGAGAGGCGCCAGTCAGGGCAAAGCTCTCAAAGGAAATCATCTTTGAGATGATTCCTGCAGGGACAACCTAAGCCAAGTGCACCGGAAGTGGCAGTATCCTGCCTACAACCTACACAGCCAGGCCGGGCAGCCCAGACAGGCACAGGCAGGGGCATCATGGTCAGGGGGAAGCACAGGCAGGTCGGTGCTTCCAGAACACAAGCACAGCTGGCGGGTGGGCAGAGGCCGGCAGCTGCAGATCCCAAGACCCAGCCACACCCTGGAGTGAGGACCGGCTTTCAGAGGTCCGAGCTTTAACACTGGAAGGATACAACTTGGCCGGCTGCTGCAGTGACTCGGGAGGGATGAGAATGTCCTCGAAGAACCCTAGAGAGACTGGAAGTGACAGCCAGGGACAGGGGCTTACCATGGACAGGTCAACACTGAGGGGTCTGGAAACTCAAGAGGCAAGCCCCTTACCGTGTGCTGCCTATGGGGCAGATGTCATCATGGAAATCTGCCCCCCAACCTCGGAGTCCCACATGGGCCTCTGTCTATACCACTCACACACCCTGAGCAGCCACCCAAACCTGAGGTGGACACCACACACGACATGGACCGGTGGGTGCTGACCACCGAGTCACCCCCGCCCACTCCAGGACTCCCTGAGGTCCGGCCTTATGGTGAAGCTCACAGCGCTGAGGTCCTCGCCGCGACATGAACGCAGGAGGGGGCTGAAAATTCTTGCTCACCCCAGGAAGATTCTGCTTCTATTTCTGACCCTCCCCTGGCCACAGGGCCAGCACTGAAGCTAAAGGGAGGCCATCTGGCCTGGCCACTGCCCCAGCCACTGCCCGCCCCTTCCCGTGCTCCCAGGTGTTGTCTGAGGAGTCAGGGCCGCCGTTACCGTGCACTCCCTCGGGGCTGCAGCCTTTGATCTTTCCAATCAGAATCTCGTCCAGGAACGGATGGAACACCACATAGCGGAAATGAACTGGAAAGGAGAGCATGTCAGTGACGAGCTGGCACGTGAGGAATGGCTGCTTCAACCCGGGCGGCCCTCATTCGCCAGCAGTGACTCGGAGGCCCCGTAGCTGCTCCGGGAGCCTGCCCAGCAGTCCACTCAGGAGTCCCCTGTGGGCCTAGGCCCTGCAGCTGAGTCAGAGGGACCTCTCTCCGTCCCGTGCGAGGTCCCCGCTTGGGCCTCATAAGAGGCCAGCACAGTGGCCCTGGGTCTGAGGGCTGGCTCCCAAATCCATCAGATGAGTCACACCTGAGTCCCTCCAGTGGCAGCCGATTCTGGGCCAATGACAACAAAGTCAATTCCAACCTTCCTCCAGGCTCTCCTTTAAGTTCTAAAAGGGCAGAACCACCTGGCACAGGCTCCCCCTGACTGGTGAAGTGTGCCCCAGGCACAGCTCTGACCTGAAATGCTACAAGTGCCCTGCGATTAAGGAAGGGGGACAGAGCTGATAACCTAGCACGCATGCTTCTGTGGGTCCTCGTGCCCTGTTCCAGGAGGCCCGCATTCGCCGGACTGCAAGCCAGGGCCTGGCAGAAGCCATCACCTTGCCGCTCCTGCCCCCGCTTATAGCACTGAATGGGGGGTGGGGGGAGCATCCACACTGGCCTGAATACCCAGGGCTAAAATGTAAGTATGAGGCTGCCCCCTGCTGGCCACTGAGTGATTATCTCAATCTCACCGAGTCCGCTGTCATACTATTGCCGCTGACTCACACGGCTATTCTGCCTTGTTCTGCCTTGTTCTGCCATGGGGAGACTCCGAGTCTTTCTGGACCACCAGACAGGGCCATGTGGCTGAACCTGCCTTCCTCAGACAGGTTTACTCCTGAACACAGGCTTCTGGACCAGCACCCTCAGCTGCTAAGGGACAGCAAGGCCCACATGCCCCCAGCTCTCTGCCAGGCTGCCTCCCTGAGGCTCCATGGGGCAGGAAGGCTTGGGGGAAGGAGAGGGGGCAGCAGGCAACCCCTCCCTGTGTGAGGAGGCAAACAGACATCTAAGCCATCAAGAAGATTTATGGTCCTCATCTGACCCCACAGAGAGCAAATGAGGGCAGCCAAGGGTCACTCACCCACGGGCTGGAAAAACTCCGTCCCCCACAGGACACATCAGTTCAGCTCACTAAATCCCCACAGGGCCTCTACCAAGCCTGTGCCCAGCCGGCTTGGGCACCGCACTTGGGGGGGCGGGGAGGCAGGACAATACGATCCTGTGCCCAGGGAGCCCCATCTGGAGCAACCACATCCAAAGGCACATGGTGAACCACCAGAGGCAACAGATGACCGGGAACACTGCGGCCTATCGTGCGATGGATGGTATTCCGCCTCGAAGGCTTAAGTGCTGACACATGCTCCAACATGGATGGCCCACGAGGCCTTGAGAATTTCTTACAGATGAGGAAACTGAGGCCCAGAGAGAACAGTCTGCCCACCAGTCAATTCCTGGCAGTCAGGACTCGGCCCCAGGCCTCCCAACCCCAGACCAGGCCTCCCACCCCCAAGAGCTGAGCCACACGAGAGCCAGTGCCCCGGAGAAGAGGGGACCCACCTTTGGTGTGCGACGCACCGTCCCCGGGAAACACGTAGGCATCCTCCAGCTTGGTGATGTCGAACAGACAGATGCAGAGTCCCACGTTGTACACGACCTATGTGCACCCATGTACACACACACACTCAATGACCGAGGCCCACTCCAGGCCGTGTCTTTTGAGGCCCACCACCTCCAGGCAGGTGTAATCACCCCGTTTTACAGCTGGAGACGAGTTGGGGTCCTGCCTACAGTGAGCACAGATAAGGAACCTCAGAAGGAGGGGGAGCTCTGGGAAAAACAGGGCCTTTGGTGACAAGGCAGATCCAGGTTACGCCAGCTCCACCCTGTGGGACCTCCAAGGTCATCTCTGAGCCTTGGTTCCCCGTCTGCGAAAATGGACATACCAGGTTGCAGGCTTGTTAAACAGAGAGAGAGAATGGATGGGAAACCCCTACCCAGTACCTGGCTCACATGCTAGAAATAATAACACTCAATCAAGGATCACTATTATTACCAGTACGGATAGTGGTAGGGGAACCCCTGGTTAAACCTACACTTCCCAAGACTCCCAAGTCCGTGCTAGAGCTCACAGTTCAGTGAACATCAGAACCACAACTCATCTCCGTTCTGCTTACAACGTCTCAGATACACAGACAAGGCCACAGGGACTGAGGCTGGCAGAGTGACACGTGGCCAAGGTCCCAAGACTGGGCAGAGAACATCCCATGCCCATCCCCACCCCATGGTGCTCCAAACAACTGGCCGCTTGCTGGGTGTCTGCTAATCTGCCACCAGCATCATCACCTCCCAATGAGAGACCCAGCAGGACGGTTCAAGGATTAGCAAGAAGCTCAGAGAACTCAGAGTCCTGGCCAGACCTCACCACGGTGAGGCAAAGTCCAGCACAAGCTCTACGCCCTCAGCTAGACCGTGAACTTCTCTGTTTGTCCTCCTCTCAAATGACTCAATGACTCAATGATAGAGCCTTAGCCGGTATGGCTCAGTGGATAGTGTTGGCCTGAGGACTGAAGGGTCCTGGGTTCGATTCCAGTAAGGGCACATGTCTGGGTGCAGGCTCAATCCCCCGTAGGGGGCATGCAGGAGGCAGCTGATCAATGATTCTCTCTCAACATTGATGTTTCTATCTCACGCTCCCTTCCTCTCTGAAATCAATAAAAATATATTTAAATATATATATATATATATTTTTTCAACAATAAAGAATTTAAAATATATATATATATGTATATATGAATATAAAGACTTGTCTCACCCTGGCTGGTGTGGCTCAGCTGGTTGAGCACTGTGCCATGCACCTAAAGGTTACCAGTTCAATTCCTAGTCAGGGCACATGCCTGAGTTGCAAGCTGGACCCCAGTAGGGAGCATGCAATCAATGCTTCTCTCTCATAATGATGTTTCTTTCTCTCCCTTCCTCTATCTCTAAAAATCAATAAAAACATATTTTAAAAACAGAAAGAGCCCTAACCGGTTTGGCTCAATGGATAGAGCGTTGGCCTGCGGACTGAAAGGTCCCGGGTTCGAGTCCAGTCAAGGGCATGTACCTGGGTTGCAGGCATAACCCCTCCTGCAGGGAGTGTGCAGGAGCAGCTGATCGATGTTTCTCTCTCATCGATGTTTCTAACTCTCTATCCCTCTCCCTTCCTCTCTGTAAAAAATCAATAAAATATATTTAAAAAAAACAAAAACAGAAAGAGAGACTTGTCTCAACAGGTCACTAAAGGACCCATGCCACAAAGGGACTATGTTCCATTCTTGGACTTTGCACACCTGCTCTCCACGATGATCCCCCACAGGCCCCTGGCTTTCTACATCACAAAGTAACCAGAAGCCATCCACCAAGGACTCCATGAGTTCTCGCCACCACCACCAACTCCCTAGATCTGCACACCCTTTCTGTGAGCTCAGCCTCTATGGAAGGGACTTGCTTTCTGTCTAAAGCCAGCCAGTCTTCCCCGTGCTGGCTCCTCCCCACCTGCTGTTCCACAGATGAACACCAATATCTCATCAAGTCCTACAGGCCCTGTGCGGGCTGGCCGTTGTCCAGGCCATACCAGCCTCCTCCACGCCATGAAGGTACTATATTCCCTGCAAAGGTCACATGCTGTTTCCTCTTTCTGCACAGCTCTCCGCTGGGGCAGCCCCTCTCCCCACAGAAAAGGAATCCTCTAGTTCGCTCCTCCTCTCCCTAACAAAGCAGCTTGTCTCCCTCACTGGAGAAGTTCCTTTCTTCCACAGGCTGTGAACACCTGTCCTTCACAGCCTTTTCCTCAACTGGTCATCACACTCCACTGTGGGATCCTCTCATTCTCACCTGCTTTTCCCACCACACCACAGGGCAGAACCTTGTCTGTCATTCATTCAATCAACAGACAATTATGGGACATCTACTCTGTGCCAGACTCTGCCTAATATGGGGGAGATACTGGGGGGAGAAAGCAGACAAAGGTCCCTGCTCTCATGCAGAGGAAAAGAGAGAAACCGTAACCCATTAAACAAATAAGAAAATAGAGCATAGAAACTGAAGTGCTAAGAAGGAAAGAGAGACATGTCACAGAGTAACTGAGGAGGGAGGGTTACTCCAGAAAAGGCAGTAACTCTCTGGTGAGATGGCACTAAGGCACGTAGGCCTGGCACATAGAAGGTGCACATACATATTTTTGCAAGAATTGATAGCCCTGGCTGGTTTGGCTCAGTGGATAGAGCATCCGCCTGCGGGCCTCCCGCGCCTGGGCTCACCCGCGACCCCGGCGGCACAGTACCTTGTCCCAGGTTCGATTCTGGTCAAGGGCACATGCCTGGGTTATGGCCTCGATCCCTAGTGTGGGGCATGCAGGAGGCAGCCAATCAATGATTCTCTCTCATTGATGTTTCTATCTCCCTCTCACTTCCTCTCTGAAATCAATAAAAATATTAATAAAAAAAGAATTAATGCATAAACCTCCTGACTATCCATCTTCATAAAAATGCATGGTTGGACAGAAATTATTTCATTTTTTAAAAATAAGTTTTTATTGATTTCAGAGATGAAGGGAGAGGGAGAGAAACATCAATGATGAATCACTGACTGGCTGCCTCCTGCACGGCCCCCACTGGGGATGGAGATCACAACCCGGGCATGTGCCCTGACCGGGAATCGAACCGTGACCTCCTGGTTCATAGGTGCATGCTCAACCACTGAGCTATACAGGCGGGGCAGCCATTATTATTTCGATTTTACAAAAGGAACCCGAGGCCCAGAGTGTGAGCCCAAGATTGCAAAGTAACTTGGGAAGTGTGGCATCTCGCACTTCGCAGTTACAGGGGCCTTTCTCAAACCAGACTTCCTTCTGGTTCCCTCCGACATCCTTGTGGGATAAGGACTGCCACGCACAGGTGAGAAAACCGAGTTCTAAGAGCAGCTTCTTGCCCGAGGCTTTGGCATGACCACGGCCAGGCTCGCAGCCCGC